AACCATTCCTTAGAAAAGTTGTAACCTTATCTTTTGTATTTGTATAATAAAATCTTAACAACCATATTTAATTTCCATTTTCATTCTCTTAATACATAAGAACATCTTAAAACTAACAATACATTTATATAAACAATTAAATATATGTTCAACGTTAAAAATATATATTCATAAAATAAATAACATATGTATATAAAATTGAAATTAATACCCGCGCGGTTGCGCGGTTAAAGATTTAGTTATAATTATAAACCTCTTATATATTAAAACAGAAGTTATGACTTAACTTCATGTGTGATTTTAAAAAAAATGGACTATTACTAGAAAATTATGTTACATTAACTCTCTAATAATCTTATCATTATTATATCTTATAAAAAATCATATATATAATAACAAAGATACGCTTAACAATTTGATTTTGGTAAATTACCTTATACCTTCCAACTTAGTCACACAAAATATGTCAATAGATATAAGTTTAGGAATCTTCTATTATTTATAAGGAAATATGTCAATAGTAGTAAAATGCATCCATAATATATTAACAAAAAATCTCTATTATTTATAAAGAAATATGTCAATAGTAGTTAAATGCATCCACAATATATTAACAAAAATTACAGATTCGTAATATGGAATATTTATATACCCTAACAAACTTTACACGCTATATATACTAGATAAATTTAATTTGATGTAAATTTTTAAAATTATATTGTTTTAAAAAAGAAATTGTTTAAAAAATTATTTTTAATAAATTTCTTTATAATCTTAATTTATGAAGCTATAAGTTTAGTTTTTTAGCAAAAAATTCTTCGAAGTTTATATTATCTTTGCAAATTAAAATATTCTAATATTTAATCAAGCTCTATTTATATTATTTTATCTAAAAATGAAATACTAATCTAACAAAAAATAAAATATAGAAGAAGAAACAAACACATATTTGAAAAACATGTATGATATAGAAATTTTGAAACAATCTATTTGATTAAAACACGTATTATATAATATTATTATGTTTGAAAAACATTTATTATACATATCGTTAATTTGTGATTACTATAATATATAGCAATTTACAAGTGAAAACAAAATGTTTATATAACTAACTATAAACGAAAATAAACACCCGCGCGGTTGCGCGGGTCAAAATCTAGTTAATACTTATATCATAAACACATAATAAACCATGAGTGTTTAAAAAAAACATAAGAGCATGTTTATTGCATATACCTTAAGTTATGTCTATTACCGTATGGTCTCTTAAAACTTTTATTTAAAGAATGTCCCTTAATGTTTTTTAGTTAAAAACTAAGAAACCATACGTTAAGAGATTCAACTTAAGAGACCTATAATAAATATGCTCTGATGAACCACGATTAAGTTAGAAAAAAAAACCTTGAAGGAAGTACGAGAGAGTGTCAAAATTGGAGACAAGAAGAGAGTGAAGGTCTTGTCCAGCCCAGACAGGGCAGATAAAGATAGAGATAAGGACGCAACTGACTCCTCCCATTATCACTGTCGACAATCTCTTATGCGCCAACTCTAATATCTCGTCCTCTCTAAACCCCGACACTGATATCAGTGAGAACGTCAATATGAATATCAATATCCCATAATCGTATCTCGCCTTCACCCGTGGGAAGAACCTCACGAACGTCGATAACGCAGCTGCACACACACACATATAATATTAGTCATGGAAGCAGTGCCCGTGTAACATTTTAATAATATCTACATACATGTACAACTAAGTAAGACTGTTAAATGAAATTGTGATATCCTAGGCGACTGATTCTTTTGTCTATGCTCCAGATCGGAACTGCTTCATAGTATCGGGTTCGAGTTTCAATGTTCTCGACATAATACACGAGGTGATTATTATGTGCCAAATTTTGAATCTTCTTGGTACTCTAAAAAGTTATGAATTATGAGTGTTATTATGGTTACCTTGCACAAAGACAAAGATGGCGAGTAGAATAGGTTCTATTGTTGGACCAGACAAACTTGCTAGGTGATGAGCTCCAACTCCTAGTCCTCCAGCTACTAATGTTGCCACTGCTCTATTTATTCCTTTCCCAAGTGTTGCACCTATATATGCACACACCAAACGTCCAAACCAAATTTAAAATTAAATCATTTTCATTCATCTCGACTTAGAGCATGATTAATTCAAAGTTCTTCGCAGGAGTTAAGAAATTGTTTCTTAACTTTTAATAAAAAATGCTAAGAACCGATTTTTAAATAAGAACTTTAAGAACTGGTTCTTAGCATTTTTTAGTTAAAAATTAAGAAACAGTTTCTTAATTTCCGGTAAAAAATCCGCCTTAAGAATCCCGGATTAATCATGATCTTAGTCCTTATTAATATCCGACTTATTCAAATATTATAAAGTGGCTGGTTCGGATCACATAGAGGACTGACCTACAGAAAATTCAAAGATGACAACGACGGTCATGACAGCCCACATTGCATTGACACCAAAGTTATCGTAGAGAGGTTGATAATAGTAGAAGGAAGAGACAAAAGCTAGAGCAAGTCCCACTTTGAAAGCATGAACTATTCTTCTTGGGTCTTCTTTTCCTACTCTCCTCCCTTCTCTCCATATCTCTCTCACTTTTTCCACTGCACCTTTCATTGATCACTCACCTCTTAAGTGATTTTGATTCTCTTAAATACTTCCAGAAGGAGAGAAATAAGTGTTGTTTTCTCTCGATGCGTGGATTTTATTTATAGAGAGCAATAGAGACTATCGTGTAGGACCGGACTCGAGAAATGTAAAACAAATTGAAAATGAATATATTATATTAATTTGAGACAATACATAGTATTGTTAATTTGAGGCGATAGTACTTACGTAAACAAATTCTATTTTGATGCTGATTTTATTCGATGTTTAAAAAGCTGAGCCATTAGTAGCTACCAAGCTTTATTTTCATTGTTAATTTGTTTCGGAAATTTCCTATGAAGGTTCATGTACAAAAGAAACACTTTAGGGTAAATAATTAGTGCTTTCCACATTTGATATCTAACTATTTAAAAGTTGGTATGTGTACATTAAATAAGTATTAATAAAACTATGTATTTGTTTTTTAATTTGTAATTCATAACTTTTTCATTTTTATCTTCATTTAATAGAAATAAAAATTTCTTAAAATTTGAAAGAAATGTTGCCTAAAAACCTTTTTAATGATATAATAAACAAAATTTCTTTAAATACAAAGTACGTAATGTATAATAAGGTTTTCATCAAAATTGTTTAAAATAGTTAAAACGTACTTACTTATATATAATTTTACTTCTGTGCTAAAATTACAAAAGTATTTAACATGAACTATAGTTGTAACATGTACTCACTTACGCATTTTGTCTTTTATGCAAATTAAATACAAGAAGACAGTAGAGAACTGATTAATTTTTTCGAATGTGTTATCAAATAAACATAGTCTTGTTTATGAACATTTGTGGTTATTGACATGACTAATCATGATTCAAGAGTCAATTGACAAACTCCACAATAGATAGATAGTCAAATTCTCATTTTCCCCATCGTTTTCTATCCTTCAAAGCCAGGGATATTCAGTCCATTTGCTCAATTACATATCATACTCGGAATCTCGGTGAACTAAATCACACATGTATTACTTCACCAATTTTAGACATATCTTGGCTTATTTCACCACTTGTCTAATTGTTTAATTTGTGTATAATGACCATATCCACCAGTATTCTCTGTTTCTTAGCTAAAAGCCTAAAAACAACGTATATAGACTATGAGATTAACGTATGACATCGTTCCGAGTAAAATTAAATTAAGTTTTTAAAAAAAACATTAAATTAAAAAGTTAAGGAGAACATGGTTAAAACGCGTAAGTAGATGGTGGATGTGTGCCCCTTTTGCACCGAGTTACACTCAGCCTAGTCCATTACCCCAATCGAACGCCACCTTTTTATATTGTTTCTATTTCATTTTACCCTAGATTGTTTTTTGCTACATTTAAAAATAAAACAACTTAAGTTACATAAAAATTCAAGAATAGGTGGTGAAGTCATCAGATGGTGTTTATTTTACAAGTACTTATAGGGAAAAGATTTGTCTTTAATTCTTTATCATATACTAATGGAAGTGTTGTTCATATGATTTTTGGTTTGTCACCCATTCGTCTTTTTAACCCAACCTCAATATAATTCTGTAAGAGCTGATAAAAAGACAAATTTAAGATACACAAAAGCACCAACGTCTTTTTATGATACATAATAAATAATAAAAAGACAGCAAACCATCCATCTCTCAACTAATACACCCTAATACGGATGATTACAGTATGTCGACCATTACCATTCTAACAACTCACCAAGAAACTATACCACAAACGAAAACGAGAAGGGGGAAAAAGATTGTATAGAAAGCAGACTGAATTAAAAATGAAAAGAGAGGACTAAAGCCCTGAAACGAATAAACTCTACAAATCACTACCAAACCACAACCAAAACTGACTTCTCTACCCTTTTTCGACATCTCAATTTACACCCCCTGATCGTTTCTCCTCTGTCGTTCATTTTTTTCTGTACACAAACATGAGGAACACCTCAGGAGGCAGATGTTGCATAAGTGTGTTTGGCTGCGGTATGTATGTGCATGAGTGCCTCTTCGTCTACCTTTTACATCCACGCCAGAGAGCCTCCTTTGTCATTTGCAGTTTGTGGGCGTCCTCTGGTTGGTGTCGCTGGCCTATTTGCGTTCAGCTCCTGCAAAAATGCCAACACCAGATTAAGTACCATTTTTTCATGTCAAACTATGTTTGTAATTGAAGCTAATAGCAACCTGCATCCATGAGTCATCTGGATGTGAATTTTCAGTTGATGAAAGTGCTGGAGGTAACGGATGAATGAGCTTAGGAACTACTACAAGATCTCTCCCCAATACCAAGATAGCCCCAGCATTGTTTGCAGTACCTGAGGTTCGTGTAAGGGTATTAATCAAACAAATACAACTACATCAAGCTATCTGATCAGATTATGGCACTAGTGAGTTCATACACATACCACAATAGTTTGTAGCGGAAAAGAGAGTTATCAAATGCCCCTGAGCAAAACGCTCAAACCCATCCATCACGCATTCGTGTGCACGTACGATTAATTGAAGATCATTGTTGTTGCAGAAATCCATGACACGGTCAGGCTGCATTTCCAAGTCATGGTCAATAACAGAACAGGTAAAAAGGAAACGCAAAAGCAATTAACACTTCTTCATATGGTAAGTTACTGGGACTAAACTAGATTATAGTCCTCCTTTTCAAGAATAAATATATCATATACACCCAGATATTTTATCCGATGGTCTGACAATAGCAGCAAATCATTGCACAAAAAAAGACTGAGAAAAGGAGAAGCAGATCTTATGAAGGGAGGAAAAAGACACTTCAGACAACTTATAAATTTGAAACAAGAATTTACTCACCCCAAATGTAACCAATCCAGGACCTCTAGCATTGGGCCTTAAACCTTCCACACTGTCATTTTCAGTCGGATCCGACCTAAAGAATTTCAATTGACCAGACTTGTCAGTCTTGACCAAAAAAATTAACCAGAACAACATATAGAAGTACACTGACCATAATAAATCCATGAGCACAATGGAGCCAGCTTCCATTGTAATAGGACGTTGAATACTCTCTATCTGCTCCACATGATTTATAGAACGACCAATACCCCCATGCATACATAAAATTTTCTTCTCAATCGATGCAGCAAGCGGTAGCCAATTAAATAAACGGTTTATTCGATGCCACACCCAGATTCCATCACGTTCACCCTGCAAAGCAACTACAACGTGAGACAACTAAATATGGAATCGAAACAAGAGATTCAGAAGCATAATACATTACCATTCTCTCAATACACTCTATTCGGAAGCCAAAAAGAGCATTAATATCAGCAGCTTCATGGTTACCCCGAATTAAGTGTACGTTATGCTGGTACTCAACCTGCAGTAACGAAAGTAGAATGTCAAACCATCTGTGGTCAAGCAACTAGAACATCCGAATCAAGTCAAACCTAACACAATGTGCTTAGAACTACCTTTAATGCAAGCAGAAGGGAGATTGTTTCTAGACTGTGTTGACCTCGATCAACATAGTCCCCTAAGAAGAGGTAATCGATGTATCTGACAATCATACAACAGAGTGAGTAATGTCCCAGAAAAAAAAAGCAAAAGTGAAACAAGTAGCGGTCAATGACGTCGGAATCTTTAGCGGTACACTTACGATATGTCTCCAGCTGTAGATGGTGAACCATATTCATCAAAAAGGCGCATAAGATCCCCAAACTGTCCATGCAGATCACCAAATATTTTGATAGGAGCTTTAAGTTGTAATACAGTTGGTTCATTTGAGAAGATACGTTCTGCACTATCACATAGGTCAGCTATTTCATTGCAATCTAGGAAAAACTGGCGTCGAACTGGAGGCTTCCACCCACGAGGCTTTAATAGATGACCTATAACCTATTATCACATATTTAAGAAAAAGCTCATTAAAAGCCTGTTAAAAACAGTTCATTCGAAACTCCCAAATTCCCAATTACAAAGTGAATGTTTCGACTTTAAGCAACCAATTCCCAATTAAACATAATAGAATGCAAAGGAGTTTCACCAGTGAGTTATCAGTAAAGCAAAGAAGGAGATAATATGACGATACTTTCAATTTTTATCATTGCAACCAAACGATCAATCAATGTCACAGCAAGAAAGCATCGTAAAGTATAATATTCCTTTTTATCATAAATTTTACTAAGTGTATTACTGTGTTTCTTAAATCCACAATTAGGATCATAATTCTATTGCAATACGTCGTGTGGAGAACCAAGGTTTTTACCTTCTTAGGAACACTACTGATTGACATTTGTCGATCTAATAGTTTCCTTGCTGCAGTTGCACTTTCTGGTGTCCCATAACTGACACGTCGTCCCTCATTTTCAAACTGATCAATAGAAAACTGTCTAGCCATTCCACCACAGGCGCCACCAGTTTCTGCAGAAACCACCACCTAATAACAAGTGCCAAAAACATTATAAACCAAAAATGCGTTACTGGTGACTCTAGGGCGAAAAATACTTATAAAATGAAGAACACGTGTTAGAAATATATTAGAAGACTATATATATTATCAAGACAACAAGTGCGGTACTCACGGCTCTATGATGAAGACGAATCCCTGCAGGAGTACCGACTGATCCCACGGAATCTGGCTTCATTAGCGAAAATGTAGGTGTCCCACTAGGTGAAGCCTCTCCACCACAATCCCTATCTGGGAGCTCAACTTCACCATTGACTTGTCGTGCCTTGGCAGCAGCCAATGTAGCACTGATCGCCTCCGCTTCTGCCGCTGATGCTTCAACAAGATACTCCACACCCTTGCTTGTTCTCCTACAAAGTTGTGTTGGATGGTCGTCACTAAATACAGCACTGTGTTAACCATACAACATAACATAAATCAGTAGTCAAGGAAGTTGGCTAACCGAATTCCTGGATTGATTGCATTTTCAGAGCTTATATCATTATGCAGATCACCATTTACAGGGGGTGCAACAGGGCTTTCCAGCACAACAGCACCATCGGCAGCTGAATCAGATAACTCC